TAAAACTTGACTTTTGGCAATTGTTTTCAATATATACACCTCTAGCTCCTAAACGGTTTGTGTGCAACGTGGTCATTTTCACTGTATTTTCGTCGAAAAAAACACTCTAGCGCCTAAACGGTGCAAGATAGAGGCAAACGGACGAAATTTTAGCCCAAAGGGTCCTAACTCGGCGAGTTACCTATTGGATAGAGAATTTCCCGAATTTCCGAAACCCCAAATTTGGGTCATTTTCTAAGGCGTCTAGCTCCTCAGGAAGGGCTCGACCCACCCTTTTTTATTTTCTTATCTGATAGTATGGTCCTTTATCTTTTCAAATCATATAACGAAAACATTTTACGATTTTTTCTTCCCAAAAAACCCAAAGATCTTAGAAAGGCCTGCAAAAGTTTTGGGGCTTCAATATCTACCATACATTCACCCCAAACACTGATGTTCTACCCCTTTTTGGAAACCTTAGACAATAATCTACCAGAATATGACATTTATTTGCCTCTGGGACCCATACAGCAAGAGAAAGCGCAATTTTTCAATCTAAACCTTATTTTAGTACAAAAAGTGACTAAAATCTTCAAAAAATCATATCTCCACCAATAATTTTTTTTGGGGGTTTGTGCCAGTGGTTTTTCACTCATATTGATGAGTAGATTAAGTGAGAAAATTTTGGCCAAAGTTGTAGAGGGTCGATGTAAATCGCTCGTGATCTAATTTGATCTTCCTCTCCGCCACTTCTTGGGGTCTAGCGGGGCCCGAAGATGCACCCGAGTGCTGCCGAGCCTCGCCTATAGGTGGAGCCAAAGTTGTACCTAAAGGGAAGGATGAGAGGCTGGGCCTCGGCCGGGCCAGGCAGCGTATATGTAAACGCACTACAGCGATGAGGCCGTGGCGGGTCGGGTCTATCTACTTTTTTGTCTTAGAGAAGTACTGTACACAAGAAGAATGCCTACGAGTTTCGACAGCGAAATAGCGCGTGTGCGTGTGTTTGTAGCTCATGACGGTGATGGCAAAAACACAACGAGACCTGTATAGAATGAATGGAAGTAGGTCCCTCCTATGGTTCCTCCCCTCTTTCTTTCGCTCTGCGATAGCGCAACAATAGGCCTCCTCTGGTCGATACGCCCTGCTCCGCGCCCCTCGATATGTCTTCGCGCCGCCGGCCGCCGCCCCGGGCAAGCTTGCCCTAGGGGTCCGTCCCGCTCTCGTGCCAAAAGAGAGTTGAGGTCCTTCTCACGAATACGAAACAAGTGAAAAATAAAATACAAAACTTCAAATATTTAATTTTATAGGTTAAACTTATTCGGTCAGAACAGTAGACTAATAAGTCTTTTAAGTAGATGATACATATTACTAGATACAAGTATTTCTATTATAATGTATCCTATTTGCTGTGGTCGATGGTGGTCGAGGGAAAGGCCGAGACGGTTTTTTTTTTTTTTTTTTTTTTTTTCAAATCTTTCCGTTCCGTCCCGTCCCGTCCCGTCTGTCCCGTTCCTCAAGCATGCACCAAATGCAAAGGAGGGACAATTTTGTTTCTGAAAAGGGACACTGTCGGACACTGTACAGAGTTTTCGTGATTTTATGTGTAAAACGTTACGAAATGCTTCGAAAGAAGTGCCAATTTACAGAAACTTTCGTAAAGTTACAATTTTTCATCGAATTCTCGACTAATACGAATTTGACAACATGTGTTGAAATTTCTTTCTCTTAAATAAGAGGTTTCTATTTTCGAAGCAGTTCGTTTAATAATATTGTTTCGTACTTTTATAAAAACGAAGTTTTGGTAATACAAAATTAAACAAGAAAATGTCGTAAAATCACGACAATTTTTGTAACAGTGAAACTGTTACGTGAACATCCAGGCTGGATTTCGTCAATTTCTTTTATAAAACTGGACAAATTATGTCACACAATTTTCCCAAAATTTCGTATGCATCATCTGCTTTTATTACCGATTTTTATTTCAAAAGAAAATGGCAAAAGCCATCTTGATTCGGTCGTGCCGGTCCGTGCCGGGACATGTCTTATGCAACCCGCCGAGGTGTCGACTGGCGAATGGACTAAATTTAGCGGGACAACAAAACAAAGTGTTCACGTTGACGCTCCGCTGTCGCTCCGTGCCGCCAGGCCAGGGCTGCTGCCCGAGCCAATATGGGCGAAGACTAGAATATTGCCAAACAACAGTGATAAGTTCTTGGCAGCAGATGGCGCCCGGCACCGCGAGGCACCGCTGTGCGGCTTGGGCTGCTTGGCGGCGGACAGGGCGGGGGGAGGAGGGGCTTTCGGCCGCTTTCAGCACCCCGACCTCGCAACAAGCCTAATACATCGTTAGCTAACGATCGATTATTCATCTCGCACATGACGTCGAGACACCGAGATCGAGGAGCAGCTAACTGTACGTAGCCTCGATCAATCGACCCGATGCCACCTGCACTGGATTGTAACGTACGGCTGATGAAAAGTTCGACTATTTCAATGCTGTAATAATTTTACCAAAT